AGACTCAAGCAACAATTGCCCTTTATTTTTTTATTTTAAAAATATTAGTTCACAATCATCTGCTCTGCATGCCACGCTGACCAGCGACTAGTCTTACACCCATTGTTGATCAACTACAAATCCGTCGTCAACCAACCCTCGCTAATTGCCAACCAACCTAGTGCCTATCGACAACCAACCTAGCTAAGTGACACCTCTATCCCCATCTAATTCATCAACACCTTTGACTACGAAAACTCTCTCTCTCTCTCTCTCTCTCTCTCTCTCTCTCTCTCTTCCAATTTATAAGTTATATTCAATAAAAAAAAATCTTATATATATTTAAGATTTTGAGAAATTAGCCTTAGGAGAGTGAGAGCAAAAACATGTTTTTTCATATTTGTAATAAAGAACATCGATGCATCAGCTATCATTGAAATAAACTATAATAATCTCATGAAAATTTTTCAATTTAACTATCTTAAACATAATAGCGCTATTAATTTTGTTTGAATTGCCGATTGCATCTCAACAGTAAATCCATAACGTTTAATATTTCTTTCGCGTCATATATAATAAAAAGTATAATAAATAGACAATTAATAAAAATTTGATCATGATGAAAACAATCATTACCATTTATTTAAAAAAAAAACAAAACAAAACATGCATGAATCATTACCTAAAGGGAATCATTGCAACAACAGACTCAAAATTCATATAATTTTGATCTAATGAATGATTGATTTGTACTTTATAGCAAGCAAACTAATAGTCATGATCAACTTATGTGTGGCCCATTGTATTAGTTATATGCTAAAGTTTATAACATTGATTTATGCCTTTTATGGAGTGATGGTGACAACAGCTTCTCAATGTTTCCTCTCCCATCTATAATCCATATTTGTGTAGATTTTAGGGGTGTGAATAATTTTTTATTAATAAAATTAATATTTTGATAAAAAAAATATTTATAAAATAAATGAAAATTTATATTTTGTTCATGTTAAAGTAAAATAAATTTAATAAACTTAAATTTATCTTAGTAAAAATTTAATTAGAATATTTTGAACTAATTTTTTTTTTTCATCATTCTTAGAGATAATGAGTAAAAGGGTAGAGAACTAATTGAGTGCGGCTATTAAAATTGGAGGGGCTTTTTCATGAGTAGTAATGGAGTGGTTGATTTGATCGAGTATTTGTCATAACAAAGAGTTAATAATGAGGGAAGCTTTCTTGGAGCTTTGGAAGCTGGCCAAGCTAGGGAGACCATATGCCTTCTAATCTTCTCATAAATGGCTCAACTCCAATATTTCAATTTTTCAATTTGAATTGATTTTTCTACTCTTAAGTATTTAGCTCTAACATTTAATGATCTATTAGGGACAACTATAGTATTTTATAAATTTGAATATAAATTACTATGGGAAAGAATAATTTAACTATTATGACTAATGTTTAAATTTTTTTCAAAAATAGTGCAGCAAAAAAGCAATAGCCAAACAATATTGTGGTAGACGTTTGAATTTGTTTTGTAAGGGGCTATTTTTTGGAGAAGTAGAAGTGGTAGTATATGAGGTGAGCTGGTCAATTGGCTAGGTGATTAGATGAGGTAACCTCTCATATTGAGTAGTCATATCAAAAAGTTTCTGAATAACTCGTATTTCTTTTTATTCAGCATAGACATAGTTATGATTTATGGTTGAGTGTGAAGATTTGGAGGTGGATTGGACAATTTTTATTGTCTCTAGCTTATTCCTAGGCTTTTTGCTCTAGCTTCTTCGTCTAAGGGGGTGATTTTGGGGGCTTGGATGTGGTGGACTGATGAGACAAAAGTTATGAGGATGAATGGGAGATCGGCTACTAGCACAAGGTGTGAGTTTCCAATCATATAACACTTTGAGGGTTTGAAACTAAAATAGTGACACCTTCCAGCAAAAAAAATTTGTTGTGAACTTGAACACATATTCATGCAAAAATAAGTTTGATTTTCTCTATGTTTAATGAGTCTTCATTAACTTGGGGAAGACTAATAGATTTGACTGTCTTAGAAATGCTTGAAGGATTACAACAGACAAGAGAAAGATCTAAAATTTTAATCCATAGTGGAAGGATGTAAATTCCTCTCTCTTTGGTTTAAAATCAGCATATCATTTATGCAAAAATAAATATTTTTTCAAAGAAAAATCAAGGTCTACTAAACCAAGCCATATAAAAATCTTTTGATGAGGAGTTAAGTAAAAATAAACTATCATTTACTGAAAGAATGTTAAGAGTGAACACCATAGTTCTTAAATGACATATAGATATCAAATCCCTCTTTTCAAAGAATTATTTATAATATTAGTAAAATAATGGCTAAAAATATATATTATTAATATTGAAACATCACAAGATTTTACAATAAAATTTCTTAAAATTAACAAAAGAATATCAAAACGTATAAAAGATTTAACAATATCTTCATAATTTTCAATTAAATATTTATAATAACTATGTGAACTTAAATCATATTTTATAGAGATATGTTACAACAACAATAACAATAACATCAAGTCTTTATCCCACTATGGACTCGAGTACATGAATCATTTTTCTCCATTATGTCTAGTTAATAGTCAAATTCTCATTTAAATCTAGTAAAGAATAGTCATTTCTATTATTTTTTAATTAAATCTTTTCAGGTCTACCTCTATCTTTCTTAACATAAGTCAAATCTAATACATCTACTTTCCTAACCAGTTCATCGGAAGACCGCCCTTTTATGTGACCAAACCATCTAAAACTACTCTCTAAACTTCATTTTTTTTTACTATCTCTAAACTTATCTCGCTTAATTTATCCTCTTTAAGGCTTCGTTTGGGATGGCTTTTATACTGCTTTTTAAAATAGTTTTTTAGTATAAATTTTTTTATTTTTGTACTAAAAAACTGCTTTAATAAACAGTAAAAAAATCTTTCCAATTGAAGCTTAAGACACCATAAATTCTAATAAAAACCTGAAGGAAAATAGGCGCAAGCCGTTTACAGCGCAATCAAAACGATAGTTACAATTAATAATACTATTTATTATCTAAATAAATTAATCCAATAAAAACAAAAAACTATAAGCTTTAATAATTGAGCGTGAAAACACGATGAAAATGTGAAAAATGTTGTTGAAAAATCAAAGGACAACAGAACAAAAGAGAAAACGAATCCACACAAATTTTACGAACAATAATCCGAATCCAATGCTCCATTATGCGCCATATCTACCCCCCGCGCAGTACGCGGCTCCACTGCTTTTCTTATTCATTTGGATAACTTGCGTTGCGTCTGGTACTTTTCCTTTCCCATCAGCAACGTTTTCTCCCACGTGGGTAAATACTGGCCAGCCTCGCTGTCAGTCGCTGCCTGGTCCTCTTTGCTTTTCTTTTTTGAAAATAAAAATATAATGTCGAGCTCATGGAGATATTTAGAGAAAAAATATTGCATATCAACAGAAAATACTAATTATCATCAAATAGTATTTAAATCCAATCTGTACATCTTTGCACGTTGCCGATCATATTGTTTTTTTTTTTTGGAGAGTCAGGGGATTCGAGCCCGGATGAGATGGGAGGAACGAGTTCTATCGACCACTCGGTCGCAGACCCGATCGACATATTTGCATATCATTAACCCCAATGCTTTTATTGTATGCCACTATCGAGTGACAAAGTCAAAAAGCATAAATTGCAATGGAGCTGGCTAGGGCAGCATGCCGATGAGATTGATGCATGAAAAATGATGTTGTAGCAGTGCTTTTTAAGGCAACATATCAATGGGATTGCCAGAGTCACAATGTGGCTTGCTATGGCAACACATTGCCTGGATTGAAGCTAGCTAGGGTAAGAGTGCTAAGGTGTTAGATTTATTAAATATTAAAATTTTGATGTTAAATATATAAATTGGAAAGTTTTTAGTGCTATATATATAAATCTCACAAAAATATTTGAAAAGTATTTTACTTTTAATATATTATATGTTATCTTCAATCAAATTAATAAAAAGGGATGAAAAATTGAATTAGAGAAAATATTTTACTCTATAATAAGAGGAATTTATTTCTATCTGAAATGAAGCAAATGAAAAAAAAAAAATTTAAGCCAACTTTTTTAATAATAATCAAATTATCTTTACTCAAACTAAAAAGAAAAAAATATTCATATTACTTCTTATAAAAATTACCTTCAATAAATATTTTTATGTGTTAGAAGATTTATGATAATAAACTAATATATTTTCATCTAATTATATAAATGTTTCAGAAATATAGATGATAAAAAAGTTGAAATTTATAAGATAAGCAAAAATTTCTTACACGAAAAATCAAAATCACGAAAAAGAGTTCAACCCAACTTAAAGATTCATTATAAATTTTGATACATCCTTTCTTTTAAATTAGTTTCTTTCCTATAAATTAAATAAATTATATCATAATATTCTATGTAAATTGTATTAAATTGAGCTTTAAATTAGTAATTTACTTTAAAATTAATTCTATATAAAAATAATTTATATTACACTAATGTTAAAATAAATTCAATAACTTTTAAATCTAATTTTATATAATAATACATAATAAAATATGTGTTAATGATTGTTTTCCAACACAATTTAAAATATCTGAATGATAATTCTTTTATTGCGTTGCTTAGTTTCTTAAGAAATTAGAGGAAATTTAGTAGATTTTTTTAAAAAAATTATTTAATTATTTGATATTTATTAGCTCTGCTTTTCTTCATTAAAAAAATATCATAAGTCCGATACAATTATTTGAAATAACAAAATATTTATACATAAATTGTTATATTATATAAAAATTCAAAATCACTAATTTTATAATAAATTTTGGTTACCTTATAATTTTTATTAAACATTTTATTATTTAGATGCATATATAATCCGCCTAATTTATTTTCTTTTGGTGGCTCGTGCGGGTCGCCATCTCCGTGACGACGAGTAAGTGCTCGAGCGCGCGGCCCTCCGTCTCTGTTTATGATTTATTCCTCGAGTTAAATGCCGCGCGACTGCGGTGAACATCTGCTTATCTCCTCGGCAATTGCCATTTCAAGCTCGCTTTTTTATTCCCATCGTTTCCTTCTTTTCTTCATCTTTTTCCCTCCATGGCTTTCATATTCCGCCTAAATCTCATGGCAGGTTTGCCGGGTAAAGTTTTAATTTTTCTGCTACCTTCTGTCCTGCTTGTATGGAAGGCGGGAGCCGGGGAATTGGAAATTGATGAGCTTCGTATCGGAGGGGTGCTCCAGGTCTCCGGGCCGCCGCGGCGGGCAGGGGAGGCGAACGGGAGCAGTAGCTGGCTGCCGAAGGGTAAAGAAGAGGATTGGAAGGAGGAGATTCTGCGGCTGGCGAGGATGCCGGAGGCGGTGGAGTGGGTGAAGGGGTTGAGGCGGAGGATCCACGAACACCCGGAGCTGGCTTACGAGGAGGTGGAAACGGGGAAGCTGATCAAGCAGGAGCTTGATAGCCTGGGAATCGAGTATCGCTTCCCATTGGCGAGGACGGGGATCTTGGCCACGATTGGAACTGGAGGTCCCCCGGTTGTGGCGCTGAGGGCTGATATGGATGCTCTTCCGATTCAGGTTCGTCCTTCTTTGAAGAAATTCAGAATCACATTGATTTTAAATTTTTTTTGGGTTTTGTTTTGGAACATCTGTTTGTCCATTTGCAAACATTTGGGCCGATTTTCGGTTTCCGAGTTCCTGATTGCAGTTTCTTTTTACTCATTGTGAAGGATGTTCCTTGAATCGAACATGTTATGCTTCGGAGAAATTATTTTATGTAGAAGTAAAAATTGTTCTTATTGCTGCCTATTTATTGAATATTTATAAATATTGAGCAAATACTTACAAAATACTCAACGAATATTCATAAAATACTCAACAATTACTCACAAAATACTCATATGTGAAATACTCAGTAATACTCACACTTGAGTATTTATAGTATTACTGAGTATTTATTGATTCGTTCTGATTGATGGTCCATACGTAATGATTTATCCTATAATTAGGCTTCTTCTAAAAAATTGAATGGAAAATTTTGGGTTAGGTTAATGATGTAGTGGATCGTCGGAAGACTCGGCCTGCAAGAAGGATTTTTGTCTCCCAATCCAGAGAGGAAGAAAACAAGCTTCAAAAGCTTCAAAGAGTATATTATATCATTCTCCCCTTTCTCTACTACAAAACTGGCTTATATAGGCTAAATAGAAGACTCTAGAAGAAACTTGAAAGAAGCACATAACAAACTAATTAAAATAGGTCTAAGGAGTAATTTAGTTAAGATGCTCTGCATCAGTTAACCTGCCTGAGATTTGATTAGAAAATATTTTATAGCTGTTAAACTTATTTTGAGATGAATGTAATAAAATTTAATTCATTTATCATATATTCTTTTTCATCTTAAAATGATTCATTTATGCATAGATTGTAAAACTCATCTTGATCAAATTTATGTAAGGGTATAATGGCTCAAATTTTCTCTAAAATGAACAAATGTTAGTACAAAGAATTTCAACTCCTCGAGTAGAGCTTCGCTATCAAAGGAATCTATGCTTTAAAATAAAATTGGTTTGTACATTTTTTAGGTCAGCCAATTATGTATTTTTCATGTGGAAATATATTGCACTGTCTGCCTTTTTTTATTTTCAACTAAGCAAAGCCATCCCGATTTAAATTTATGTATTTTTTTTAGTCAGCTATGGCCTGGTGGTTGTTTGTTAGTGAGTACTTAAAATGCAGAGGTTTTTCAAATGCATGTAAATTATATGCATTGCATTTTTATTTTTAATTTGTTTAAACAAATTCATGCAATCTTTATTTTTGTGTGTTTTTTTTTTTTTTTTTTTTAAATATGCTCACTAAATGCATAAAGGCATGGTGGGGACAATATCCATGAATGGTGTATTTGATGGGGCTTTATTTGGTACGGCTTTCTTATTGCTTTATAAAGTAGCTTTCTATATAAAAAATTATTGGAAGCAGGGAAAAAGCAGTGGCCCCAAAAGCTGTCCCAAACGAAGCTTATGGGGATGATATAGTATTGCGGTGACGATTAGCATAGTGATAGGGATGATCTAGGATTAGGGTTTTCTCATGAGACGAGATAGGGAAAGTGATCAGGTTGATATGATCACCACACGAACAAGAGGATGGGTATGATTAGTTCTACGGTGTTTTATGAGGGTTTGTAGGGTTGAGGGGGATTTGCATAGGGCATAGAAGTCATGTATTTTATTTTTTTTCGATTTGAATTATTCCTTGTAAACCAAAAATAACCTATTGGATGCATTTGCTTTTTTAATCAAATAAACACTTAAAAAATAAACACTCTTATATTTAAAATGTAGTGCATTCCTAATACACTCAACTGAAAAAACCTCCCTAATCAAAAGATTATTTGGATTGAATTTAAGGCTTTGTTTATGACATATTTCTTCTTGCTTTCTAAAGCAGCTTTCTAGTAGAAAATTGCTTTAGAAAATAGTAAGAAAGCTGTCTCAAATGAAGCCTAAAAATATTTATATTGGGGATAAGTATAGCATCTCTCTTTTTTCGAGCATAAATGCTCAACAACCGCAACTTAGAAAAAGCAAAAATAATAAGATGTGATTTAGGCATCAAGTTATTCACTATCTATCTCTTTATCTCTTTTCTTTTTCATTAATTAATAACTATCTTTTTTCTGAGCCGTGAGAATCTTATTTCCTTTATCTTAATTGACAAGTTTTAGTTGTACGCGCAATATATTCCTTAAAATGTATTTTTTTTGGCTTATTTTATGACTTTTCAGTTTTGTCCAGTGATCTATTAGTAGTCTTTCTTTATCCTTATATGCACATCTTGCTTTTGTAGGAATTGAACGTGTGAAACAATGATGTTCACATATGAGCTTTTTTCCTCTTTGCAAGTTGCAACATTTTGAAACTTCAAAGATACCATATGAGCCAGCATATTTACTTTGTTTTATTTTGATTATTATTTGTCGTTGAGGAACCTGAGAATTTTAATTTTTCATTTTTGAATACTTTAAATTTTTTTATTTTTTTTTACACTGTAATTATCGTTGATTATTTTTTCTTCTCTCAGGAAGCTGTAGAATGGAAGCACAAAAGCAAAGTTCCAGGTAAAATGCATGCTTGTGGGCATGATGCACATGTGGCAATGCTTATTGGTGCTGCCAAAATTTTGAAGGCTCGTGAAGATCACTTGAAGGTAAGTAATTTTATCTTCTTTAATTTCTGTATTGGCTTGCTTTGTACATCTTATAGTTTCTTTGTTAGTTATGTTAAGATGTATATAAAAGTAGAAAATATGCCTGCATTTGAAATGAGATTGAAGTTAACTCTTTTTTAAATAGTAACGCTCTTGTTGTTGTTAGATTGGGTCTCTTTGCGGCATTTTAATTGTTTTGATTTTTACTTCTATGAATTGTTGGGTTCCTCTGTATAACCAATCTTCGTTCTTGGAAGAGAATTTGATTCCAAAAGTATATATAAGTGGGAGATCTAAAACTGAATATATGGAGTGTAATTTTAGCAATAATAGATCTAGTGAGGGGTTTTGTGACTTTGGGTGATCAAGTCATTAATAAGAACATATATTTAGATATCTTGTGTCTGTTGCTTAGAGTGATGGTGAAATAGATAGGAATATTATTAGTATTCAAGTTGGATGGTTGAAGTGGAGGAATGCATTGGGCTTGTTATGTGATAGAAAAGGTCCTCTTAAACTTAAGAGAAAATTCTATAAGATGGTGGTGAGACCTGCAATGTTTTATGGTGCATAATGTTTGTCATTAAAAGAGAAGCATAATATTAAGTTAAGTGTTGCAGAGATGAGGATGCTCAGGTGGATGAGTGGCTTTACACTTAAAGATAGGATATGAAATGAGCATATACGTAAAAAGGTTGGAGTAGCTACAATGAAAGATAAGATTAGAAAGAGTCGCCTTAGATGATTTGGTCACATAAAATGGTGGTCTTTCGATGACACTGCTAGAAAAGTATATTTATTAGATTTTACTTGTGTTAAGAAAGATATAGGCAGATCAAAAAAGACTTGGTTATAAAATATTAGATATGACCTTTCTTTATTAGATTTAGATCAGAATTTGACTCTTAATTGAACATAATAGAGAAAAAAGTATTGATGTAGCCGGCTCATATAGTGGGATAAAGGTTTGTTGTTGTTGTTATTGTTTGATATAAGAGGAAGATCAATTTTCATCCCAATTTACATTTTACGTTTACTTCCTAACATAGTCTTAAAACTGTGGATCACACTGATCAGTGTGATCTAGAATCTGAAAATTACTCGTAGATAAGGATCAAATTGTTTAATATTTTCATAGTAATTTATCTAGTAAGAAAAATGATAATTGGATAAAATATTAGAATTCTTTTAAAAATTTAATTTTACCAATATATTTCACTAATCAAAATTATCAAATGCATCCTATTTTAAAAAACACACTTAATTCCTAATAATTTAAAGTCTCATGTTTTGAAATCATAATTAATTTCTTCTGCAACTTTTTTAAGGATATTGGTTGCCTCAATCATTCTTTCTTCAGTTTTATAATGAAGATGCATCATGTAAAACAGGATTAATTATTCTGTGTGGATGACGCCGTTCGAAAAACAATCAGAATGCACCACGTCACCCATTCGCTCGGAATCGCAGCTCGGTATCACTGACGTAATGTATTCTGATTGGTCTTTGGATGGCGTTCTGCTTCCAGTCTTTACACAGAATAATTTCTCTTAAAACAGGCTCGTCCACGAACCACGATAAAATATTAAATGGCATTAGATAATATTATTCAAATAAATATTGAAATATTATGTAAACTAAATTGCTTTTATGTGCTTTGTTGAATTATGTGTGGACGTCATTTAACACGAGAATAAAACAAATTTTAACATTGTAACTCTGTATCTCATCTTTGTTGCAGGGCACTGTGAAGCTGCTCTTTCAGCCAGCAGAGGAAGCAGGAATAGGTGCGAGGAAAATGATTGAAGAAGGCGCACTCGAGGATGTGGAGGCTATATTTGCTGCTCATGTATCTCATCAACATCCTACTTCTGTCATTGGATCCAATGTTGGTCCTTTACTTGCTGGTTGCGGTTTCTTCAAAGCAGAGATAAGGGGTGGGCAAAGTTCACCGGAAAATCCTCACAATTCAATCGACCCCATTGTAGCTGCCGCAGCTGCAGTAATCAGTTTGCAGAATATTGTGTCCCGGGAATCTAATCCTCTAGATTCACAGGTGAATAACTTAAAATATCACGAGTCAAATGTGTTAAGTGTTGATGTTTTCTCAAAGTTTAAGGTTTTGTTTGGGACGGCTTTCTCAGTGCTTCTTAAAGCAGTTTTTTAGTACAAAATTTTTAATTTTTTTACTAAAAAGCTGCTTTAAGAAGCAATAAGAAAGCCGTCCCAAACAAAGTCTAAGAGAGCCCTTTTAGCTGCTATGTTGCGTATGAGAAAAATAAATAATCTCATTAGTATAGTGCAACTGCAAACTGAAAGACTGATGCAGAGTAGTTATCAAAAATATATAATTTCACCTAATTGTATAAATCTTATTCCAAGTTCTTAACAATTTCAGCAACGTTTCATCATTTCTTTTTCACCATAGTTTCGATCTCCCTTTGTCAGGTAGTTTCAGTGGCAGCAGTTAATGGAGGAAACAATCTCGACATGGTACCTGAAATTGTCATCCTTGGTGGAACTTTCAGAGCTTTCTCAAATGCTACCTTTCATAAGCTCCGAGAAAGAATAGAGGAGGTACGCATTGAGATGTGCCATGATGTATTCTTGTTTTCAAATGATCATAGAAGTATTAAGACAACCTGAATTAGGAGTGAGAAGAAGCTGATTTCAATCTAGTTTATCAATGCCTTGAAATAAACTCAAACAAATAGTCAGGGGCGGAACCATCCTTAATTTTCAGGGGATAAACTTATAAGTAACAGTGTATAATTTTTTTGTTCATAAATATCCTTATAACTAAAATTTTTTCCAAGGGCGCTACCTCTCGGCCCTTATTTGTTCATATCCTTAGTCATTGTACGCTTCACAGATATGTTGCGGGATCAATTTGTATTTGGTTTATCATTTCCTAACAATAATGTCTCTACACAATGTGTTTAATTATGTTGGGGCAATTGTCTAAAGACCATAGTATTTTAAAACTTTTAAGGGGAGCAATTACCTAAAAACGCGTGTAAGCATACTAGGATATTCCAATTCAAGCCAACTCATAATTAATTTTGCTTTGTTTTTTTTCTCAAACTTCTTCCAAATCCCTTCTGCACCTTACTGTCTTTTGAACTTACATTAACAGGTTATTATGATGCAGTCTAACGTCTACAGATGCACGGCCTCAGTGAACTTCTTTGAGAAAGAACGATTCTACCCTCCCATGGTTAACGATGTGACAATGTACGAACATGTAAAGAATGTGGCCATTGGGTTATTGGGTTCGAAGAACTATAGGCTGGTTCCTCAAGTAATGGGTGCAGAAGACTTCTCCTTTTACTCTGAGATTATTCCTGCTGCTTTCTATTACATTGGTGTGAGGAACGAATCTCTGGGTTCAATTCATACAGTTCATTCTCCCCACTTTATGATTGATGAAGATGTTCTACCTGTTGGTGCCGCCTTCCATGCTGCCATTGCTGAAAGATATCTATCTGGACTTGGTTAGTTAGAGAACCATTCTTCTATATTTGATCGTGTTCATGATCATTTTAGAGCGAGCTGCTCTCCATAGTTTTTGCCATATGTATATAAATGATTCTTTCTTGAACTGGAGGAGGGGCAGAAATTTCCGAGCAATGAACAGTTTTTTGTACAGGGCGGTTATTGCAGATCATTGAAGCCAGCAGCGCAAATTTATAGCATTATTACTCCTTCTACGCCACCTATTGACCTATTGCTATTGATAGAAGTGATTAATCAGTCTTTCATGTTATTTTGATTAGAATAATATTGTTATGCTGCCAGTAGAAAATACTCATAATATAACTACAGATTACTCAACCGGACTTTTTATTGTGTGCGAACATCGGACGGAGAGAACCGTCCGATTTTTTCTCTGTTTACAGTAAAGCGCAGTCAAAACACAGCTGCTACAGTAACTGTGCTTTTACTATTGACAGAGAGAAAAATCGGATGGTTCTCTCCGTCTGATATCCGCACATAACAATATCTCTTGAGTTGGGCTGTGGAAGAAAATAGTATTTTGTTTTGCAATTTGACGTACAAAGCTGATTGAATGCTGAAGGTACCTCAGAGCAAGAAGAAACTGTTGAAGGTGTAGATTGGGAGGGACACAATTTATGAAACAAAGAGAAGAGGTTGAGAGTGACTGTGTTTTATATAATTAATATTTACTTTAAATTTTGAAAAAAAATATATATTTTACAGAAATATAAAATACCTTTTGTTACAACGTATGTATTTTCGTAACATTTTTAAAATATATAGTGTAAGAAATAAAAACAAACCAGTCATCACATGAAATCAAGAAAAGGGATTGTGAACATTTTATGTGGAGAGTATTGATGCATTTTGTATATTTGCATAAGCTTTAACGAAAATTTAGTTGTTAGTCAGTTGCAAGGTAAGGACTCACATCCTATAGGCCCCGCGAGGAACTCATCTAAGCAATATCAGGCCTTACGAGCCTGGGCCTATGAATGAAGCTCGCCCCTCTTGGGGGCAGTATAGACCTCATCGACCAAGTAACTCGCTACCTTTCTTATGGAAGTAAGACAACCATCACAGTAATTGGCCCTCGCCAAGGCACAATTGCCTTCATCCCCTGCACATCTAAGTCAACTACAGGAAAGCACCTACCTATAGAGCCCTAAACTCACCCTACCATGACCAACGACCACTGAGTTTATCTTATTTGAGACATTAGTTCACTCACCTTTTCCTCTATGCAATACTAGACTCAACACAACTCAATAGTAGCACCCCGACACCATTCATCCATTGATAGGGCTGCAAACGAACAGAGCTGAGCCGAGCTTACTGCACACTTGGCATTATTGAGCTTGCCCACAGACAAACCATCATATCTCTATAACCTCTTGCTCTCCCTCAACAAATCTAGAGGTGACACATTTCTAGAGTAGTTTGTGTAGCATTGTACTTTTTACTTTGTTTTGGGTATCAGTTTTCATAGCCCTCAAAACCCTTGAAAATAAGAAGTCAAGATGAACATTTTGGATCTTTAACTTGATCTTTTCTTTGAACTTTTGTATCTTTAGATCTATTTAGATTTTGAGCTTTTAAGTTTTGAGCAATTTTATAACAGCTTTCTCTAGCATTTCCCTTTCTCTTTTTCTCTTCATTCTCACATATCTTCCAGTACACACGCTCACAAGGTCAACCTGCTAGTAAGGTTGGGTGTCATATTAGATCAAATGACATAAATTTGGATCAGGTTTTAGCTACATTTTTGAAACTAAAGATCATTTATATTGATGTCCATGCTCTACTCTTAAATCTCATCATATGATCTACATAGCATGAGAAATATATCTCGCTCCCCTCCTATAATATATTAATTTCTATGCATCACCTGATAATTTACCTTCAACACTTAACATCAATGCTTATATTAATATAATTTGTTATGCTCCATAAACCTTTTATTCACCTCCCTTTGGGCACTACCTATCATTATAGTCTATTGCACTTCTCTTCCCCCCCCCCCCAAATCTTCTATAACCCAAAAAAAAAAAATTTCTATAATTCACTTTGCATGTCCACTTGTTTCCTCTATTATTGTATTTCAAATATTTCTAAGCATTGTAATCCTCAGGATAATAATAAGGGACATACTAAGAGAAACTTGTATAAAAGATATAGGTTTGTGAGCCAAACCACTTTAAGATTCATGTTTTGTCTATTTTTGATTGTTTATCTGATCATCTCATGATGTCTATCGATTTAACTGATCGAACTATTTATATGTAGAGTGCTTTTCTTATCTTTTCTAACATCAAAATAATTATATTTGAAGTCCATATCCATTTGTTCATACATAGGGGCATAAGTACCAAACTCATCTAATTTAATTTAGTCTTGATATATCATCAAAAAAGTAGCTTGATCAAGCACGAATCTTGAAGCAAATTTAAATTGAAAACTTCCAAAATTAAATCTGGAGCATCTTAACTATGATTTCAGCAAACTTGTAGACTTATAGTTGAATTGAGGAGGCGAACCCAATGACACCAAATTCAATCCAATTTGAGCCCAAATAAGTCCAAATCGAGGACCCAAAACACATTTAGAATGTTCAATTTATAAATTGGATGATCAAATGATATTCAAATGTGACATGCTTATAGTCGAATCGAGCGACTAAACGAGAAGAATTCAACAAGTCAAAGATTACCAAATTATAAAATCATTAAGACATTTTAATTCTTGATAAATAGTTTATGATCGAGGGAGTCAATATCGATCATCCATAAAAAACACTCCCAACATCACCTTGAAGTTCTCTTTATTTACTAGCCACAATACTCCCAAAAAACTATAAATATGTCACTTATTCTTCATTTAGAGTGGGACAAGAAAGAGAAAGGAGAGAAGAGAGTAAGAAAAATGTGTGAGCTCTCTTGCCACTAAACTTCTCCCCCTCGACAACCTCCTGGCCACCGTCTGCCATTGGACTTCTGCACTGCCACCGACTGTCACAGAACTTCCGCCCGACTACCGACCATTGCTAGACTTCTGCTCAATAGTTGTTAGACTTCCGCTTTACCACCGTCAGATTTCTTCCCGACCGTCATCATTCACATGAAGTTCAACCCACTTCCTTAATTGTCCTCAACTTTAGAGGTAATATTTGTAATCTATTCAAATACTAGTTGAATCATTTCAACTAGGCGTGGCCCCGTAGTCTTTTCTTTTTTACAGAGATTTCCATGTAAATATCATGATGTTTTTAAGTTATCTGATTTGTGTTAGATATCCATGTAATGCTAGGACGAAAAATTCTTTTACTTTACCATCACAAATATTCTAGCCCGCAACAAGTCTATCTATTTGAACTTTTTTTTTTTTTTGAGTCATTAGAAGTTTTATTTGAATGTTTTTTGTTCCATTAAAATCATCATGGTGAGATACTTCAATAAAAAATTTTGTTGAACAATTAATGATTTCATAGACCCAACAAAGCTGAACTAATTGATGATAAAGATGATTATTTTGTTTACTGTCGGGCAATCGCTTATTTGGTTAGTTAATGTTTAGAAAAATAATAAAATTTTGATATTTAAAGTTGAAATATTCTTTTAAATTAACAAGAATTAAAATATAAATTAGTTCTATTACAATTTTGTATTAGATTATACTTGTAGTAAACTAATTAATTTCTTACGGTTTACATAAAACAAAATTTTGAATTGTACGTGATACTAATAAATAATTATGCATAAATAATTGTAAAAAATTAATTCTTTTTATTTTTTAAAAGTTATTAGTTGAGCTTAAATTAAATTAAGAAAAATAATATATACAGCCGATCAAACATTTTGTGTTCTTCATTTATTGTTTTTTTTTAATATTAGAATTTTGTCAATGATTTCCCCAAAAAAAAAAAAAAAAGAATTTTGTCAATGACAGCTCCAAAGAAAATCTTGCTATACTCACTAAAAGCCTCGGTGATGTTGGAGAGAGAGAGAGACCAGGTCCTATAATAAACCAACAAGGAACCAAAACCAACGAGGCCAGATCTAGCTAAAAGCCTCCAACTGAGTGGCGCACCTCAAGAAAGAGAAGAGAAGCGAAGAGAAAGACAGAGTCACGGGTTTACATTGTAACTTGAAACCACCCTGCTTCTCTCTCTCTCTCTCTCTCTCTCGATCTCGATCTTCTCCCAAGCGCTTACAGACACAGGGACACATATTCCCTTCTTCTCCACCCTTCTTCCTACTCCCTTCTTTAAAAACCTAAGAAGCCTACTACTGCCCCATTGTCCTCCATCAACCCCGAGGCCAAGAAAAAAACCGCCTTTTCCTCGCTGGAGAAATGCTGGATAGAAACTGGGAGGCGGGGGGAGGGGAGACGGCTCAGGCCATGCCGGCGCCATTCCTGACTAAAACGTACCAGCTCGTCGACGACCCCTCAACTAACCACATCGTGTCATGGGGCGACGATCGTGTCTCCACCTTCGTCGTTTGGCGCCCGCCGGAGTTCGCGCGCGACCTCCTCCCTAACTACTTCAAACACAACAACTTCTCCTCCTTCGTCCGCCAGCTCAACACCTACGTCCGTATTTAACTTACGCCTTCTCATTCTTTCCTCTTCTCCACTTTATCCACTCTTACATAGTTTCATGTACGTTCTGTTCTCGCCAGGGATTTAGGAAGGTTGTGCCGGAGAGATGGGAGTTCGCCAACGAGTTCTTTCGCAAAGGAGAGAAAAATCTCTTATGCGAGATCCACCGCCGGAAAACCTCAGCAGCCGCGGTAGCCGCCGCCAGCTCGTTACAGCCATCTTTCTCTCCACTCTTTCAAACCCCTTTTGAAGATTATTACTCTGCACCCGCCGCCGCGAAACGCCTCTTTTTACTCGGTAACGTTAGCGAAGCTGCAGCCATCGGAGGTTCGGCGCCGGCTTTGCTTGAGGAGAACGAACAGCTTCGGCGGAGCAACGCGGCGCTTATGTCTGAGCTGGCTCACATGCGGAGGCTTTACAACGATATCATTTACTTCGTGCAAAACCACGTCCGGCCGGTCGGCCCCAGTGGTTCTTTCTACGAACTCCGCCGTGGGGCGGCGGGTCTGAACTCAGGAGGAAGTGCGACGTCTAGCAGTTCGCTGACTATAGCTGATCAGGACCCATCGGCAAGGCCGGATGGGAAGGATAGTGAGAGCAGTGGGAGCCCAACGAAGCTGTTCGGCGTTAGTATCTGTGCTAAGAGAAGGGAGTACCCCGGCGAGGCGGCTTCCTCGTCGACCAAGCTGCGACTCGGTTTGAATAAGGAATGCCTTGGGCTTAATCAAATGCCGCCTTCTCCTTCTATGTAATATGGGAATATGTGCAGGGATTTGTATCTGTGCTTTGATGTTTTGTTTCTTCAGTAAGTAATTTGTTGGCCCGTATTTAATTTGCTAGTGCTGCAAAAAGATGAGATTTTTGTTTCACCGTAAGATTATTCGCTCGTTAATAAAACTATAAGGGCATCTCCGACGGCAAAATAAAGCTAAATTTTAAAACGCTGTGATGCTGCTCCAATCTAACTGTATTCTGCGAAGGTAACTTTTTTTCGGCTGAGAGCAAAATAGCTTAGGTGAGGCGTTGCACTGTTCACTCACAAGTAAATGATGGAGGATTTGGCGTTCGGCTGGAGCAACCGAACGACGCCATACGTACATTTGATGTTTGGCATTCGGTTGGAGATGCTCTAAGAGATAAAATGGCTCTATCGCTGGCTAATGTTGTGAGTGCTTAGGAACTAAAAGGAGGGTTTTGATGAAAATTTGGTTATCTTTTTCTTTTAATGCTTTGTTTAAAAGATTTGGTGTAAAATGGCTTTCTTCAAGGCAACGGATCGTAATAGAATAATTTCGGAGAGTAATGCTGATGGGTCTTTTCAGTTGGTCCACTTCTCCTCCTTCTATTCTTCTCTCATTAATTGTGACCCAAATCAGAACTTTTCAACGTAGAAATGGATGTGGAAGACCGAGAACTGAGTGGGTTTTTTCTTAACTAATTTGATAACGATTTTGTTGTCGTCAAGATCTTCAAATTGAATCTTATCCACATAAAAACTTACTAAAATAGTTTTTTTATTTTTTTATTTTTAAATAACAAATATAATTTTATTCATTTTAAGAATTTTATTTTTTTATAATCATGATAAAAAAATTCTTTTCTTGATAATAATTTCATAATAAATTTATCAAATGCTGCAATCTTTGCAAACATTCCTTTAATCTATTTGTATTAAAATTTAAGCATTTAACAATATGAGAAAGGAGGAGAGAGAGAGAGAGATTTAAAAAAGTAGATGGCGGAATAAAGAATCTGAGCCGTTCATTGGAACGTGATGGTTCCCATAGATTCCTCTCCCCATGCTGAGGAGTCAGCTCGGCCCACGAGCTGCTTCTGTGGTTGCATCAGAGGCTCAGACAGAGTAAAACAAAAGAGCAGAAAAGGACGAATGGCGGTCCCCAGAACAATCAACGGCTGTGATTTTCGGGCCGTTTCTCCAATTGTACTAACCCCCTTTTCCCTTGAAACTGTAGCAAATTATTCCTCTCCAGTTCCTCTCTCAGTGTCTGAATCAGCCTGACGGAGTTATGCATAGCTATGGCCAAAGCCAGCTTTGACCGCGCCATTTTAACCTTTTTGGCCCTTACCTCTTCCACACATATTCCAATTGTACTAACCCCCTTTTCCCCTTGAAACTGTAGCAAATTATTCCTCTCCAGTTCCTCTCTCAGTGTCTGAATCAGCCTGACGGAGTTATGCATAGCTATGGCCAAAGCCAGCTTTGACCGCGCCATTTTAACCTTTTTGGCCTTCTTACCTCTTCCACACATATTAACCGTCCTCTTTTCACATTTAAAGGTTTCATTTGTTTAGGGTTATTTTTTTATTATAGAATTTACAAAATTTTTATCTTTTATATATCACTTTAATATTTAAATCATATAAAAATATATATATTTTTTATGGCACATATCAATACATATTTTAATGATTTTTTACCTATTATAAAGATTGTCATTTTGTATAGTTTTATAACTATTTTTTGAGGTTGTCTTAAGGATATGTGACGGTAGGCTGCAACTATTATATTTATTAAAAAAATTATTATTATTTTGGACATTTAAGTCAACTAAGATAAACTCACACACACATTACACACTCAAGACTTAAACTCAAGGCCTCTTGATTAGTAACTAAATATCATACCAAATGTTGGTAAAGGGAGTTTGGCTAAACCACTTGGGCGTGACAAGTCGAGCTGAGGCGAGGAGTTCTTCTAGAACTATTTCTAAATAGGGTCATATGACATTGGAAGGTTTTGAAAGATTCTAAAAGGTTCTATAATGTTTTAGAATTTCTAGAAGGTTTTAGAAGATTCCAAAAGATTCTAGAAGGCTTAAAAGATTTTAGAGTACTCTAGAATGTTCTAGAATAGTGTAGATACTTAGAGAGTATTCTAGGATGATCTAGAATTCTCTAGTATATCATGGATTTATGTAAGAATGTTGTGTAGTATTTTAGAAAACTCCACACTTATGCATCTTGGAGGAAATTCTAGAATGTTTTTAGGAATGGAAGGAGGCTATACATAGGTCGACCCTCCCCCTTCATTTGTAACAATATCTTTACACCCTCTAAAACACCTCTTGTATAACTTCCTTTGTATGGTAAAGCTTTCCCCATTAACTTCCTCTCTTTCTAGCCAAGTTGTGTGAGTTTAAGGTTGCTTAGCACAAGAAATGAGTGCTAAGGCCGTGCTGGTGACCATGGCAAAGTTTCCTGTGACAAGTGGTATAAGAACCAATTCAATGCAAGGGTAAAGCACAGGCTAAGAGGAGGTTAGCTTAGTAAGGCAAGCGTGGAACCATCAAGGGGAAGCCGATGAATGGATGAGCAGCGAGATCCAGCATCCAAGCCATGGGGGAAGTCCAATTAGAGGATCTCTAGTTTTGATTCACATTTACCTCGATGGATAGAGGTTGTGAATGGCATGGGGGACCAAATGTATGATAAAGGTGAAGATGGGAGTAGCCTAGTGGAAAGAGGTTCCACCATTCAGGATGCGAGAAGAGGCGTGGAGTCTCGACTGGAGGGCTCAGTGATGGACAAGGTAGAGGTGCATGGAGTGCTTAAGAGGGAGCTTAATGAGATGCTAGCTCAAGTGGGCCCGGGGACCTACATGAGGGTTGTAAGTTTACCTTGGCAAAGGCTTCCACCATCAGCCGTGGATGCTTGTGGGGTCAAATCATAGCATGTGGCTTAGAATTACCAGAGCGACTAATGGGTCAAGGCAAGGAGAGGAGAATCGTTTGCTTTGTTTGCAAAGGACCTCAATGGATGAGACATTGTCCTCAAATGGTCCCAAAACTCCTCACAAAGTGTTAAGAGGTAAAAATTGGAGAGGATGATGATCGAGTCATACAGATGAAGGTAATACAAATGGTGCAGAGCAAGAAAAAGAGGGAGATAACTCTAAGGACGAGGAGTTTCCAGTCTTGGAAGACATACCAAGGAATAGGGATGGCCATCTAACTCTTGGGTGTGAGTTAGAGGCTCAAGTTGAAGGCTTACCAATAGGGATGATGGAAGTCTTTGATGTATCTTCGGATGTCCTGCCATAGAAGCAACCTGAGGAGGAGCCAAGATAAGATGGGAGATCCCAAGTCCTAGATAGACCAGCTAACAATAAGGAAGCTAGCTAAGGGGTTAAGGGCCATGTGAGCAAGAGATACAAGATGGATTTGTGGAGATCCTATGATTTTCATCATGGCTTCAAGTAGGTTCACGGTGAGGGCATCACAATCATAGGTGGGGGAGAGTGTCACATTCAAATGTTGGGACTAGGAGTTTGGCTAAACCCCTTGGGCGTGATAAGTCCAGCAGAGGCGAGGAGGTCTTCTAGAACCATTCTTAAATGGGGTCATATGACATTGGAAGGTTATGAAAGATTTTAAAAGGTTCTAGAATATTTTGAAAGGCTCTAGAAGATTTTAGAAGATTCTAGAAGATTCCAGAAGATTCTTGAAGGCCTCAAAGATTCTAAAATGTTCTACAAGATTTCAAAAGATTATGGAAGGCCTTAAAGATTCTAGAGCACTCTAGAATGTTCTAGAATAGTGTAGAAACTTAGAGGGTATTCTAGGATAATCTAGAACTCTCTAGAATATTATGAATTTATGTAAGAGTGTAAGAATGTTGGGGAGTAGTCTAGAGAACTCCATACTCATGTATCTTGGAGGGAATTCTAAAATGTTCTTAGGCATGGAGGAGGACTATAAATATGACCCTCCCCCTTCATTTGTAACAATCTTCTCACACCCTTCTAAAACTACTCTTTTATAACATCTTTTGTAAAGTAAAGCTTTCCCCATTTACTTCCTCTCAATCTAGCCAAATTAGGTGGGTTTAAGGCTGCTTAGCACAAGGAGGAGTGCTAATGCCGCACAGGTGATCAATGCAAAGTTTCGTTGTGACATAAAGTTCTCAATCAATAAATCAAAATAAGCTACATGAAAAAATATATTTTAATAAACAAATTTCTTCTGTGTAATGATGTGAGCATACTGGATATTTTAGAATAATTGTAGACATTCCAAATATAATGACTTACTTTTTATTTTTAAAAATAAATATTTTGAGGGCACTTTAAGGTAATCAATAAATTTTTTTTTTTCTAGTTCATACAGAGGTGTTCAACCATGCATAAAATATCTTTCATGCTAAATATATCATTAATTAAATTTATTTTATTTATTCCCAAAAGAAATTTTATTTTATTTTTTTCATTAGTAATTCATCTTATTTTGAATGCTATGAAGTGTTGTGTTTTACACAAAATAGTTATCAATTTAGCAAATCTCCAAATGGGGGCCACAAGCTCATAGACACCTCCCTTATTGATATTTTAAGGATCTATATGAGGCTGTTTATTTCATTATTTTATTTTTCATATTATATCTTTCATAAAATATCTTTCATAAAAAATAGTTTTATTTGATTACTATTGTCTTGATGTTCTCTTTGCTTTCTAAAAATTTCTACTTCTACAAACTAATTTTTTAACATATTGTAGTTGTTAGAAAGTGTTTATGATTTCGTTTGGGATAATTTGTGACTTTACTTTCCAAAATTTAATCACGATTTTTATTTGACCACTATTTTTTCATTATTTTTAATAAATTATTATGCTATGAAACTACTTTCTCCGCATCAGCTTTATAATTATTTTTATAAAAAACTATAGCTTGGCCCATACGTACTTTAAATTTTTCAAAAAGAATATATTTTATAATAATCATATTAATTTTGAAAA